CAGGGTCACCCATTTTTAATAATAGTGCTTGAGTTCCTTGTTTCTCAATGCACTGTGGTATTCCATAATGTGAATATACCAGAGCTTCTCTATCCATTCATTTGTTGATTGTCACTTAGGTTTTTTACAACTCTTTGCTATTGTGAACAAAGCTGCAATCAACAGGGGTGTGCATATATCTGTCTGGGTAGAAGTTATGGTTTCTTTAGGGTATATTCCCAGGAGTGGACTTGCTGGGTCAAATGGTATTTCTTGGGAAAGTGCCAAACAGCCTTCCAGGAGAGGATAAAATAGATGAATGGGTCTTTCTAAGAATCAAATCCCTATGAACATCTAAAAACTTCTCCAACAGAGTTAAAAGGAAAGCCACAGACTGGGGAAAAATATTTGGTAATAACATGTCTGATAAGAGACTTATATCTAGAATTTATAAAATACTTGAATACCACAACAAGGTAAAGGTAAATAATCCAATTAAAAATGGGCACAGGATATGAACAGATACTTCACCAAAGAAGACATTGAAATGGACATCAAATACATGAAGAAATGTTCAAAATCCCCAGCTCTAAGAGAGATGCAAATCAAAGCAACTATAATATATCATCTCGCACCAGTAAGAATAACAAAACAGAGCAGCAAACAACAAATGCTGGTGAGAATGCAGAGAAATTTGAACCCGTATTCACTGTTCGTGGAAATGTAAAATGGTGCAACCACTATGGAAGTCAAATGTTTTGTATAATCACTAAAACACAAATAGACAGGACTTTGTTTATAAGGAGAGTGTGGCATTAAAATTGGAGGAAGATTCATTAACAACCTAAGATATGCAAATGACACAACCTTGCTTGCTGAAACTGAAGAAGACCTGAAGCACTTGCTGCAGAAGGTCAAGGACTTGTAGTCATCAATAAACCTTGAAGCTCAACATCAAGAAGAAAACTATTCTCACTACTAGGCCAATTGGTAGCATCATATTAGATGGAGAAGAGTTTGAGGTTACAGCTTGTTTGGATCCACAATCAACACTCTTAACACCACCAGTCAGGAAATCAAAAGACAAATTGCATTGAGAAAATCTACTGCCATGGACCTCTCCAGAGTGCTGAAGAGCAGTGAAGTCAGTCTAGATACAAAGGTGCAGCTAATCTAGGCCATGGACTTCTCAATTACTTGTTATACTTCTGAGAGGTGGACAATGATGATGGATGACAGAAGAAAAATAGATGCCTTGGAGCTGTCATGCTGGAGAAGAGTCTTCAACGTACCACAGACTGACAAGAAAACAAATCGGTTTGTCTTGGAGAGGGTGAAACCACGTATCTCCTTGGAGGCCAGGATGTTGAAGCTCCACCTCATTTACTTTGGGCACGTGGCCAGGAGAGATGGGTCCTTGCAGAAGGACATCATGCTTAGAAGGGTTGGATGGCCAGCAAGGTGAGGGAGATCCCAGATGAGATGGATTGATACAGTAACTGGGGGAATAGAGGTTTGTGTTGCAAATTGGATGCAGAAAGAAAGCAGGGATAGGAGGAAATGAGTTCTGAAAAAAGAGGGAAGGCTGAGGCAAAGGTCCTCTCAGAGCTTAACAGTGTGAAAAGACCACTTTCTTTGTCTCCCTATGGTTTTTATTTAGTTTCAGCCAATCATCCTAAAAAAGTTCAATCTCTGAAGACTATATTTTCCTTATTCTTAAGTGTTGCTAACAAAACAATGGTTAAGCTTATCTTTAAACTAAGACCAATGTTCAGACACAGCATCCAGTATCTCCTCCGGGGACCTGGGCAGAATTCCCTGTTTGTAGAGTATGCTCAATCCTGTCTGGACTCTGATCTCAGCTGTGGCCTGGCTGTCACTATGCCGGGGAATCTACAGGTTTGTGTGATGGAATTAGTGAGACTAGCTCAGGACAGGGAAGCGTTCAGAGCTGCTGTGCATAGGGTTGTTAGACATCAAAGGAAAGTCAATGGCACATAACAACAATAACATACAATGACAGGCTTGGAAGCAGGAGTGGCATCCACTTCCTAAATAACATGCCTCTGGAAAGTCTATGAACTTTGATAAATATCTATAGTTGTAGAGGGTCTTCAGGCCTTTTGCTCATGGAGTCACTATGAGATATTCTCCACTCGAAACTAATAATCAACATCAACAAAAACATTTGTGCTATTAGTGTGGTGTCAAAATCATTTCAGTGTCTTTGGCTTTCTTCCCCAGTCTTAGTACTGAATTTTGACCAGGAGAGAAATTCAAGTTGCAATTTATCTCAAAGAATTTATATTGTCAAACTCCTTTATGTTTCTGTGACTTCTCCTTGCCAGGGGGAGCATGGTGGTGCCAGTACAGGAATTACGGCAAGCTTTTGGATTCGAGTGCTTTTATGGGCTTGTGTTTGACGTGCAGGTTTGCTCTGCCCCCAGGAGCGAGGCAAGCCAGGCTTGGCCTAGGGTTTAAGGCAGGAGGCGGTGATAAGCCCCAAAAGGAGTGGGGAGAGGAGGCATCCGTGCTCTTCCTGGTTGGCTCCTCCCAGGGTTTCTGTGACTTCTTGCCAGAGGGAGCATGGTAGTGGGAGCGCAGGAATTATGGCAAGCTTATGGAGTCGAGTGCTTTTCCAGGCTTGTGTTTGACATGTAGGTTTACTCTGACCCCAAGAGCGAAGCAAGCCAGGCTTGGCCTAAGGTTTAAGGCAGGAGGTGGCTTCAAACCCCAAGGGCCTTCAGGCCTGTGGCCCTTGGCCAGGTTAAAATTGTTTTCCTGCCAAACATTCTTCTAGGTGGTATAGCACTGGTCTGTGCGTTGCTTTACAGAGGTAACTCGTGGTTGCTGTGATGTGCATTACTATGTCAGTAATGTGACAAACGTGGTAATGGGTACCCATGGTGGACAGTGTTAGCTGGAGCTTCCCGACTAAAACAAGCCTGGAAGCAGGAGCAGCGTCCACTTCCGAAATGGCTTGCCTCCGGAAACTCTATGTATGAACAGTGCTCAGGCGAAATGTTTCGTTCATAGGGTCACTATGAGTCATCTATGACTCGATGGTACCTAACAACAACAACAACAACGAACTCCTTTACAGTCTACTGCTTGTTAGCTTCTCTGCCTCCTCTGCCTCCCCAGGTTTTGGTTACTCCACTGTCTTTGTAGTCAAGATTCCTAACAGCCCTTTGGCTTTGACTCCAGCAGTATAATCCTTAGCAACCTTCATGCATAGGCTTATTGGGACCGGTTTGATCATACAGTCATAAAAAAGATGAACTGAAGTTCCAAGATGTAACAGTCTCTCAAAAGAGCCTAAAAACATAAGGATATATTATTAAAAAAAATATTACAAACTTAGCAGAGGCTCAGACAGGTCAGGAAACACAGAATAGTCCAAGGATTTTTATCCAGGATGATTTAAGATGACTCTGCCATCTTAAAGATATACAACCCTCTATCCATGTGCCTAATGTGGGCTGCCCAGAACAAGCACTATCAGCTTTTAAGAGGACTATTTTAGATTTGACGGTGGGAATGGTTTACTGTGCCAGATACCCATCTTTCAGGAGAACCAGGAATTATCTGTCCCAGTGTCGTCCCGGAAAGGCTGACCTTTTCATCAATCATCAAGTAGGATGTGACATGACCTCATCATCTATCTTTTTCTTTAAGAGGAAATCATTTGAGGTCATGTAGCCAAGCCTCATTTACATCCATACATGTTGTTTTTTTAGTTTCAGTGGGAAGTCAAGAAGAGTTGTGCTGATATCGTTGTGTGAGAAGACTTTGTCCTGACAGCAGCAGTTCACTGCAAGGGAAGATGAGGGGCAGATGTTACAAGGACTTCTATTTCTATATTTGCTCCTCAGGGGAGCTCCTGCAGCTGTCTACAGCACAGGCCCCAGGGGTCTCATCAGAGGAACCATTAGTGAGCAGGATGAGGTGGTGAAAAGAAGGTCAACATGTAGCTTATGAAAGCAGAGGTTGAGCAAGTGGGAAAGGTCAGAGAGGTACCTCACTGGATATTTTAGGCAGACAGAGGAAGTTGACAGAAGGTGTGGATCAATTCATTTCATATGAACTGAGGGCTAAAGGGAATCCCACAACTGCTTGCCTTCAATGCTCTTCTTGAGAAGCCAAAGCTCAAGCTCAAGGGCCCCCTCCTTCCAGCATTTCCCCTCAGCACCAGCCCTACCCTGACTCAAGAATTATACCAATGCCTTTCAGTTGTGCATGGTGAACCTGAAGAAAAAGATGGCTTCCTTTAAGGTGAGATTTAACACTAGCCTGGCCTGGCTCTGGGGACAAGGATGTTTCAGGAATCTCTGGGATCTGAAGATTCTTGCTAGCAGTAGGGGGATACCTTCATTTCCTTTACTGGAATAACAAGACTGGAATAACCAAGCTCGGGAGTCAGACCTGTAGGAGCTGAACTGGGGTGAATCAGAAAAGCAGGGATTCTTCTCCATGATTCTTTGGGGTTCTGGAAATTTGAAGACAAGCTGTGTCCCCACTATCCATGTGTCTAATATGAGATGTCCAGAACAAGCACTACCATCTTTTAGGAGGGCCCATTGAGACTTGTAGGGAAGGGCATGTTATCAAACCTATAAGGATTGCTTTCGGGAGCATCCAGGACAACTTCTCCCAATAACTACAGGGCAAAGCTGATCTTATCTTCAATCATCAGGTAGGATGCCCACTCCTCACATCTTCCATTTTTTTCCCCCCCTAGAGGAGATCATTGGAGGTCATGAAGCACAGCCTCATTCACGACCATACATGGCACTTGTTGAGTTAACTCATGATGGCAAGGAGGAAGAGTGTGGTGGTTTCCTGGTGGAAGAAGATATTGTCCTGACAGCAGCTCACTGCTGGGGAAGGTGAGGGGTAAAACCTCCTAGGACTATTCACATTGCTACCACATGGGGGCGCTACGTCATGTGGGTGTAACTCAGTCCCAAGACTTCTCATCATCAGAACCATTTGAGAGTGAAATGAGGAGGTGAAAAGTGAGTCAACAGGTAACCCATGAGGTCAGAAAATGGGGCAAGTAGAATAGGTTAAGGAAGGACCACACTGGCTATTTCAGGCAGACAGTGGAGGTTGAGGCAGGTATGGTCAAGTCATTTCCTATGACCTCAGTCAAAAGAGAATTCCACAACCACCTACAAGGCTGCTGAGAAACCAAAGGTTCAGCAAGCTCAAGATGAAGGGTCCCTCCCTCCAGCATTTCCCTCAGCAGCCGCCCTCCCCTCCCCATTGTCACCTGCTTTAGGGCTCCAGTTCTGAGAACCTCTTCTTTTCTCTCTGTACAGCCCCATGAGTGTCATCTTGGGGGTCCATGATATTAAGTTTCAAGAAAAGACATGGCAGAAAATTCCTGTGAAAAAAGCCATTGCCCACCCTAACTTTAACAACGGGTCTGGTAGAAATGACATCATGATATTACAGGTGAGATATTCTCCCTACTGCTCCTGCTCCCTTGGGTTCAAGAACTGTCTCCTTTCACCATGACCCCTGCCTTCCTCATCCTGGCTGCTTCACTAATCCCAGGCTTTTGGGGGAGAAGGGATAAAGTGCAGTCAGTCCATCAAGTGCTGCAGGACAGCAGGCTCTCAATGACCAAGTCTTTGTTGTTTCCTTCATCAGCTGAACAGGAAGGCCAAACTGACTGCAGCTGTGGGCCTAATCCGCCTGCCTGGAGAAAGTGACTATGTGAGGCCTGGGCAGGTGTGCAGTGTGGCTGGCTGGGGCAATATCTCTGACAGTGAAATAACAAGCAAGCTGCATGAGGTGGATCTTGTCATTCAGGAGGACTTCCAGTGTGAGTGCCGCATGCCGTATTATGACAGGACCACTGAGCTGTGTGCGGGAGACCCTCAGAAAAAGATGTGTCCCTCTCTGGTGAGATTTAGCATTAGCCTGTCCTTGTTCTGGGGAGAAGGATCTTTGATGAAGGTTATAGGATGTAAAGATCTAGCAATAAGGGGAACGCCTACGCCCACTTTTCTGAGATAACAAGTGTACCAAACTACCTAGTCACTCAGGCGTCTGTGAGTTTCCCAGGGGTAAATCAGAAATGTGTTTCTCCAGAAAGATGAATTTGTGGCTCCTTATTCCATCCCAAAGGGATAGGTTGCCTAGTGGTAAGAAACGTCATTGTAATCCCAAAGGTGCTCCTCTGGAGAAAGACAGGCAATCTCCTCCTGTGCAAATAATCATCTCTAAAAGCTCACTGGAGAATCAGTCATGATTCTCATTTGACAGTTCACATTTGACAGCAAAGCAACAACAATAACATGCCACCTCAAACCTCCCTAAGGCACAAAGAGTTTCCATTCAGCTTCTACCTTAAAGATTGGTGGTTTGAACCTTCCCAAAGGTGTTCCATAAATTTATAGGGAAGAAACCCAATGAGCAGTTTGACTCTACAACATTTAGGATTACTATGAACTGAGATGTCAAGAACTGGTTTGGATTTCTTTTTTTTTAAATTTTTATTTAGTTTGGGGGAAATAGAGAGCATTATCCCACCCACCTCAAGCACACAAACAAGGAAAAGCTCTCCCTCAACAGTTAATAATCAAAACCATGTAAACACTCAAGAGCTGTCATCACCCAGGTCAATGTACTGTCTTCCATTAACCATCTGCCTTTCCTTAAACAGTAGCCTATAAGCAAAGTTCCACAGCTCCTTGTAAGGCAAGAGACCTGAAGTTAGGGAAGGAGATAGGTCACAACTTAGGAATGAAACAAAAATAATGTCAAACATGAAATTTTGACACCCTGTGGGTTCCCAGAGAGGCCTATAGTACGCCCCTCTTTTCACCTCATTTGGGCAGTTTTCTCCCAGGAATGTAGCGGGAGGCAAGACCAGCAGAACAATTAACTCAGCCTTTCCTCTCTCTGTTCCCAGGGAGACTCTGGAGATCCCTTGATATGTAAAAATGTAGCCCAGGGCATTGTCTCCTCTGGAAGTGAAAAAGGAACTCCACCAAGTATTTTCACCAAAATATCCAGTTTCTCACCCTGGATAAAGAAAACAATAAAATATCTCCAATTGGAAGAATCACCCTGACCCTCTCTATGCTTGATCAGCTTTTCTTAACAACAAGAACCTTAATAAATGTGTCTTTACTGCAAGGGAATGATTGTGTCTTCATTATTCACTTACATATTTAGTAGACAGCAATTCTGGATAAGGGAGCTCTGGAAACCTAGTGCGTAAGGAGTTGCACTGCCAAACCAAGTTTAGGCAGTTCAAATCCAGCAAATGCCCTGAAGAAGAAAGAAGAACAGTCACCTGTGGGACAATTTATACCCTCTGAAAACCCAGGGAAGGATCAGGTATGAATGAGTTCTGGCTTGAGGGAATGAGATTCTGTCCTTTTTATTATTTTGCTTTGTTGGGTTTTTAATCCTTATTGATCCAGACCTAGAACACAAACATGTTCTGAATCATGTTCCTTTTCCTTGCTCTACATCTACAACTCATATGCAAGGAGCCAACCAGCTCTTTCTTATCTGTTGTATCTTGAAGTCTTGCCCATCTGCAGGGCTAAGGCAGAACACCCTCAGTGGGAGACCCTAGGTTCCCAGGTTCTATGTGCAGATGAACTGTTCAGCTTTGCTTCCTGTGCTATGTGGCAGAGAGCAAAGAGGGCCCACTGGGTTCAGGAAGACAAGCTGGCTGTCCTAAGGCTCTTGGAAGAAGAATGGAACATTTCTGCCTTATAATCAAGAAAACTGGGAGGTTTGAAGGGTGAGGATCTTGAGAACTTCCTCATTCCCCTCTGGGATTCATGTTTGTTTGTTGTTGTTATGTGCCGTCCAGTCACTTGCGACTCATAGCGACCCTATGTACAACAGCCCTAAACTCCGCTCTGTCCTGTGCCAACCACACTGTCTCTGACACTCCCATCTCAATTATCCCACTCACTGAATCAATCCACCTCATAGAGGGCCTTCCTCTCCTGCGCTGTTCCTCCACCCAACCAAGCATGATGTCCCTCTCTAAGGACCGGTCTCTCCTCACAACATGTCCAAAGTA